GACCAATAGTGTCCCTACCAAAGTTGAAATCAAACCTTCGCCCTTAATCCCACCGTCTGTCTCGCTTTGAATACTGTGTCTTTCTGTCCTGTGTCTTGACAAAATAGGAATAAACTGATTTCTGAAAATAAAAAAAGACCAACAAACCCTGCTGGCGTTTGCTTGATATTCATCATAAGCTTTTCTGTTAGTTTGAAAGAAAGCATTGAATCTGTGACACCATTAGTCATCCGTTTGGTTGTTGTTGCATTTCTGTAAAATCTTTCTCCTTGTAACTGTAATGCCAGATACATTGAATCACAAGACAAACCAAATAATAAAATTTTCTTCCTGTACAAGAAATGCCATAAGTATGCTTACACAGTCACACGGTTTCAGTTTGAACAGTTGCCTTTAATATCTATAGCAGTTTGAAACTTAGTGACTCACAACGTAGGAAATTTAATGTTTATTTTGAGTTCCTTGAGGTTGACTAAACAATTGAAAATGTTTATAAAAGAATACAAAAAAAGTGGAAATAAAGCTACTTTGATACATTTGGAAATATTCAAATGACAAAGATTAAATACAGCTGAATAAGTTGGAATATTCACATTTCAAACTAATCAGAAGGAGATATTATCTATTTAAGTTCTAATACCAACAGGAAAAATGATACAAATGTAGCTTTAAAGCCTCACACCAGATTACACAATTACATTAGGGTTGTCCCTCTACCTTCTTGAGCCCCTGGCCCCACTAAGGCTTAAAGCAGCATAATGGAGATCATCTGCATGCTCGTAAACCTGGGAAGAAAACAAATAGCACAAATAAGATGTTAGATAATATATTCCTCCATTAGCATTCAACTGATTTTGGGAAATTTTCACCTATTTCACATACCCAAATGGAAAAGCGAATAGCTTAGGAACTGTAAGACGAAATTACACATGCAATACATTATTTGAAAGCTAACACCCTCTGGTTTCTGAATATATACATTAAAATTGGATGAGCAGAACACAGACCAAGCTGCATCAGTTCAAACATGACTCAAAGTTGTTTTATTCTCGAAATTGATAGGTTTTTTTTTAACAGCACTAATTTATTCTAAATCATGTCAACCACAAGTGCAGACAATTTCAGACCTCTAGCTACAACAGTTACAGAGCTGTGGGGTTTTGAACTTTTGGTGTCACCAGCATCTCCAAACCTCTCCAAATGTGCCTGGATTACTTTTTATCTTTGGACCCTTATGGACGAATGGAGCATTAACAATTTAAGATTGGATTTATAAAACTGCTTCTGGATGCCTTCAAGGTTATTTAGCTGTGACTGTCACGTTTATATTTTACATGCTGCTATATCTGTGTTTATTGTGCTTATGTGCTCGCTGTGTAAATAAAATTAACTTGGCTGTTGAATTGTGGAGAATCTAAGCTTTTCCAATGATGTCTAACATGTCTATATTGGTTAAAATTTTACCAGTAGAATTTTCCTCCATTTTGAGTTCTTCTCAATACTAAGCTTGAACAGCATGGAGCTGTGCATTACATGGTTTTAATGCACGACGCTGAGGTCACAGCACGTCGATGTGTAGCAGAGATGCGTTCCTCAGCAGAGTGCATTAAAACAACAAACAATGCACAGCTTTGAGTTGTTGAATCTGCTTATAACATGGTCCTGTTGCATTTCCTGTTCTTGTTTGCTCTCCTCCTCTTCTTATTTATCAAATGTTTTGTTTCGGCCAAAAAATATTACAATTTACCTCAAACTTCATGCTACCACTGTGCCTCGTATTCATCTGTTAAGTCAGCAGATCAGAAACGGCTGGTTGGAATGTTCAACGGTGAAAGATGAAGTGGAGGGATTTAACAATTATTTAATATGCTGAACATGGTGTCCATATGCACCAAAAAAGCACTGCAAGTAAGATTGGAAATCTCATGGACCATGGTGTAATTAAATAAATATATGTTTTTAAAATAAGACTTTGTATTTAACCTAGTTATTTTTTTTCAAGTAATGTTATTAATTGGCCAGATAATAAAGGAATTATATTTTTTCCTTTAAACACCTGTTATACCTAAAAATTTTCAGGAGAATCTCTGTATTGTCAGTGTCATTGTCATTGTAGTTCAAAACATTACATTGAATGAGATAGTGCCTTACTAATATTTGGTGAGTTTATTTTACTGATTGATGGATATATTATAGATATTTTATCTTATATTTCTAACTAGAAATCTGGGACAATGTTGTACTGGACTACAGAATCAAAGGGGTTTATTTTCAGCTCAGCACCAACTTGTGGGTGATGTGCTGTAGGGGATTTCTCAAGGGCTCTGTCTGTCTGGAAAATGCATGCGGTCCAAATGCAAACGCTGTTATCTTCCCTCAGCCTGTTATAATTTGTCAGAATTTCTTCATCAGTTAAAAAGAGATTTCAAAAAAGACTTACGATAGATTTATCATAGCTTTGTGCTGCACTTATCCTTTAATCTTTAATTACCCAACTCAGTTAACAGTAGTTCTTGTTGTTTTACCACTTCCTGAAATAGGCAGGGGTAGTGCTGTTTAGTGGAATTAAACTTAACCTTTGATTTAATCTAGGGTGACCAGATTTGGATATCTGAAGTTTCGACTGCTGGGCTGCTGACTGGACCGGACGTCAGCACAGAGCCATGAGCCGACCGCCCTCAGCTGGAGAAGGGGGGCTGGGGACCGGTAAGGCCATAGGTGCCCAGTCACAAGAACTGAAAGGAAGATCTAAATTTTTTTATTTTTTTCCTCTGGCTTATGAGTAGCTTAAAAACTTTGTTTTTGGGAGTTGAAGCCCATATCCTCTAACCATGATTTTAGTGGCAGTCCAGACCTTGTGAATTTACCTTAAGTTCCTACAGGAGCTTTGTGTCATTCCATCATCTCAGTAGTTTGCACTTCACTTGATCTTTTTTAAGCTGCTGTCATAATCACCCAAAAAATAATACATGACACTTTAAATGTATGACTATGACTCCATTAAAATGTTTTATGTTATTCTGATGCATTTATCTTTATTGCACATACTTTTTCTAAATTGGCCAGTGATTTTTGCAAACTATTTTGATCATTTCAGTGCATCCTAATTTTGTTCTTATACTTTCCAAATATCCAAATGTTCTTATACTTTATATTAAGTCTTTTGTTTGTGTTTTCTTTTTTTTAATTTAATGAAACAGAGTAATTGGCTTGGTCAGATTTACATTAGGGTTGATTTAAATAAAGTGTGAAAAGTTAAATTACTTCTAAAGTCAAACTGACAGGTGGAATTTTAACATCACCCTATGTTGCAGCATTCCATGAAAAAGAATTTGGTACTGATAGCTACAAAATCAATTAGTATGTTAGCCTAGTAAATACCTAATACTATTTTCATCATTTCAGTGCATCCTAATTTTACTCCAAATTTGAGTTATATTTTTAATCTGTTTCACTTTAAAACACTTTAACCTTTCTTTGTGTTTTACAACTACTGGTGTCTTCTTCCGCTTTATCTTGGACAGGGTCATGGGGGCTAGAGTCCCAAGCAGAAACCACCAGATCTCCCTCACTCCAGGCACCTCTTTCAGATCTGCTGGGGGAAGCCAGACGTGCTCCCACGTCAGTTCGGGGACATTGTCCCTCACGCATGTCCTGGGTCATTTACTTTGCCTCCTTCTGATGCCTGGAACACTTCCCGAAGGGGCTTCCAATTTTAAAACTAATATTTTAACGAAGTTGTATGGAATAAAGTTATATACTTTTATTGTGAAAACACCAGTTTCATTTTTTGAATTTTCTTAATTTTCCAAATGTTCTTATACTTTATATTAAGTGTTTTATTTGTGTTTCCTTTTTTTAATTTAATGAAACAAAGTAATTGGCTTGGTCAGGTTTACATTAGGGTTGATTTGAAAAATTTCATTAAGTGTGAAAAGTCAAAATACTTCTTAAGTCAAACTGACAGGTGGAATTTTAACATCACCTTATGCTGCAGCATACCATGAAAAATAATTTGGTACTGATAGCTACAAAATCAATTAGTATGTTAGCCTAGTAAATACCTAATACTTAGATAAAGGTAAGGTATTTTGTTATACTTTCCAAACAAACAGAAGTCTTATATACTATGGAAGACCACGGGTCCATTTCATGAAGCAGGTTTATTGAATACTCAAATGTTTTCTAAACCTAAAAATCTGTTTTCCTTTTCAAAAAGAGAGTTTAACAAACCTCCGTATCAGTCAACATAGTAACATTCTCCCCAGAGCTAACCTTTTCGGGCACAGGTATTGTTCATTAAACTCGGAGTGTCCTCTGTCTCCTTAGAGCCAATTAAGCTGTTTTATTTCGTGATTTAGTCAGATTTCTGTCATAGTCTTGTGTAGAAATAAAAACAAACAATAATAATAATAATAATAATAACAATAATAATAAGAAAAATTGACTGGGTCCGTTAAACACATACATTTTTAAAAAGAAACATCGATCTTATTAAAGAATGATTAAAGCAATTTTTTTTCGCATAGCATTAATAATGGAAAGGATTCTACCACTCAGTTTATAGGAAATTAGATTTGCTTTTGTTTTTTGTTTAATATGAGCAACATGCAGATCATGTTATTTTTATTTATGTATTTATTTTATCGTACATGAACTACTGAAATCATTTTTAGATTACACATGAATAGATCAATTCATGGAAGTACTTTAAGGTTAGAATTAGGATTAATTCAGGGATAACAACCTATTCAGCCTACTGTCACAAACCAAAACCATTCTATAGGACGGATACCTTCTAATAACACCATTTATTGGATGTTAAAATCCAAAGCAGCTGGAAACAGCCACTTAGTATTTACTGTGTAAAAGAAAACAGAATCAAACCGAAGAACCCCATGAGATGATGACCAGGTTTCATCTGTTAGAACAAAGTTTGTAGAATTCATCTTCACCTGCTTCCAGATGATTTCACCTAAATTGAATATATTGATCCTCTGCCATTCAAGAAATAAACCCGTAACGTTATCATGGTCACAAGAGGGTATGACAAGGCATTTTCATATTTATTACTTTTACTGAACATGTTCTCCGGATATCTGAAAAAAATAAATTTTACTTGTCAAAATAACCATTTAAAATAAATATTCTGGATGTTTAGAAATTAATTTAAGATCTCGATATTCCTGTTTTTACTGATCAACATTTTTATTATATTGACTATGAAGAAATGTATTTCAGATAGCATTAATATAAGTTCATTCAAGTCGATAAATGTCAAAACGGCTCTTAAAATGTGTAAACATGTCTAGGTATATTAAACTTTATTCTATTTTAACTAGAATAATTTCGTTTTTTGCTTTCTGAAATTCAGTTTCTACTACAAGAATGTCATTTAGAAAATATATTATTACAGTTCAGTCTAGGAATGTGATTTTGATCAAGAAGAATCATATCTTAGTGATCTGCAAATCTAAAAACAGAGAGGAGAGTTCTTCTAATAAATGCCCAAAGCAGACTTCCTCTCCTTTGCAGCTGTAGAGCTGTTTCTCTGTCTTTTAAACATTCTCCATTTTTATTTTCTTCATTAAAATCTCTTCTGGTGTGTTTCCTGTTGTCATGGTGACTTGTGGAATAAGGGCTCCACTGATAATGGCTTTTCATACTTGTTATGCACATGCTAACCTCTGAGTGGACCTACTTAGGGTTGATTAAACTAATTCATAGCAGCCATTCTGAAACCAAAAACTCAGCCTAGATCAATTTAGAGTTGCAGATTTGAATCTGATTTTGTTAAATGTGCTTTGTAAAACAGACCCCACATCTGACATTAAAAATAAGTAAATTACAAAAGTGCTTTTTTTTTTAGATAAATTGTTTTTAGATAAATCATTTTTTTTTGCTCTATTTTTTAGCCTTTAAAAAAATAGAGAAAAAAACCCATATTTATTCATTTAAATAATTTATTTTTTAGCATTTTAATTCTCAAATTTAGTTTGGATTATTAAAAATAAAAATGTATTCATTTCTGGGTATACAGTAACTTTTTTGGCTGTTGTTTTTTTTTTTATTTTTTTTTTACTGTAACTTATCTTCTACCCTGTTTATTTATGCTTGACTTTTCTATCCTCCTTAGTATTTACACTGCTTTATCTGTTGCATTCTAGTATTCTGAAAACCTGTGAAACATAATATTGAGAAATAAAGCACACAAAAAGCTCACGTTTGCCTGTAGAGAGGAGGCTGGTGAAGATCTCTGTGGAGGCTCTGTTGATACAAATACAATCAGCAAAAAACTTTTTGAGAAATATGACAGGCTGTTAATCTGATAATTCTTTTAACTTATTTAGCAAGTGGTGTTCAATAAAGATTTATCCACAATCTACAATGAAAAAGTCATTGAAGTTAGAATGTAAAAAATCTTAAAGCTGCAATTAAAAATGAACAAAGTCATGTCTAAATTATCATAATTTCTTAGATTATAAATCTAAATGATTGCCAAATTTTACCTTTGCAAGATTTCTTGTAAAGTATAATTGCCAGAAAAAATGCCAGCATAGTGACGAAGGCTAAAGTTCCACTTAAGACATACACCATGACAGATGTATTGAACTTTTCTGCAGAGAAACAGTGAAGAAAAAGATACAGTGATGACCACAACTATGTAAATTGTAAGACTATATTAAAAAATAATAATAATAACAATAATAAGTTACTCTTGTGGTCGAGCGTTATTCCCTTTCCAAAAAGAATGTGTCCACATAAGGCAACAGCACAGTGGTATGTCCCCGCATGTGATTCATTCATCCTCTCTATGGTATAGCTGTATACACAGCTATTTGTTTGCGTGGTTTTGTCTCTCTTACAGAGTTCATCAGTTGTGTCTTGGGTGTAAATTATTCTTGGAAGATGTTCTTCTGAGCTTTGGACCCAGTAAACACTGTATCCTTCATTACAGCTTCCAGTTTGAATTCTGCAGCCCAAAGACACAGAACCTTCTGATTGAATATCTTCAAATCCGAGCTGGGGAGTCCAAACACTCAGATCTGATTCCATTACATGAAGTATAATGCCCTCTAGAAATTTATACTCATATGAATGAATTCCTGTACAGTAGTAAGTAGCGGAGTCTGACATTTGTACATTCAAGATTTTCAAGTTATTTTTATCCGTGCCAGTTTCCAGGTCAAATCGTTGATCTTTCCAAAATTCACCTTTAAGTGAGCTATTTCTCTTATACTTATAAAACTCTGATATAAGCTTTGGTTTCTGCCCAAGAGTTTGCTTATACCAGTAGAAAATAACTCCATCAGATTCTTTATAGAGACACTTTAAAGTGATGTTCAAGCCAATGTTAACTGCTTTAAACTGCAAAGATGGCGATGGTCCTTGAACATCCAAGTAAGCTGAAAGAAAAAAGTAGAACAAAACTTTCTACTTAGATGGGGAGTTATTAAATATAAAAGAATGTACTGCAATACCAACAAATTACTACAAAAGACACAACTTACCTACGGTTTCCAAGATCAGATATGTCACTAAACAAATAAACCTGAGGGGAGTCATTTTGGTTAAATGCCTATGCTTCACTGATAAAATCTCTTATAGTGCTCTACTTTCCAGAGAAAAGGCAAAGTGTGACAAGCCAATCAGAACTGACTTTAAACCTCACATGTTCTGAATCTCTGTTCAGTATTCATGTCTAAAGGAGTGGGTAGGAAAAATAAGGAGAGAAATTTTTTTAAATTACTTTTGTGTTCTAGTGGTCTTTTGTGTTATTATTATTTTTAAGTAATTACACAAGAAATGGGATAAGGGAGACAGGGAGAGGACCTGAAGCAAAGGTCACCAGGCTGGGCCCAAACCCTATGCACATTGGTCTGTGCATGGATTGGCAAGGCACCACCATGCTCTGAAGGAGAGTATTTTTGGTATTTTATTGAAACACTGTTAATCCTCTCAGAAAACGTCAAGGAACTGATTTCAGATTTCTTTGATTTGTGTGTTGGGATATTAATGTTCAATGCTCATCTGGGTTGGATGCCACATTAATTTTGTGGGTTTATATTCTATTCAGTTGTGCTGATCACCCACACAGCAGTAAAGGTTGCTGAGAGAACCACCTGACTCTGCATCTTACTCTGCATCGTCTCTGGCTTCACGGCCAGACTTTGTTTTTGGGTTTGGCGTTGGATTTTTGGATTCCTGCCTCAGTTGCCTGTGAGTACTACATTAAATCTAAAAAACTCACCTCTACTTCCTTACCTCTGCATTTGGATCCTCCAAAACTCAACCCAGCCACTTTTGATTAATTACTTGAGTACATCTATGTTTACAGTAATTTTCATACTTAAGTACAAGACCTTTCAGATAATTTAAGACATTAACTCGAGTAACATTTCAGTCAGTGACTTGGACATTTACCAAAGTCATGTTTTGGAGAGGTACATTTACTTGACTTATACTTACTTGACTCTGAGATTTCAATACTTTATACAACACTGCACGTAACTCACAGACATCATCAGTTCTAAGGTGAATATATGCGCTATTAATTAAACTTCACAATAACACTATAGCAACATAGATTTGGTAAGCTAGCATGGACCTGAATCACTGTGTTTGTATCACACGTGACTCTATTAGCTCCAAAATTCTTTTACACAAACCAAAAGGAAATAATTATATCATTATTCTATATAAACATTATTGAAAAGTTCTCCATATCCACTGCATAAAAAATAAAACCAAATGCATTTATGTGCCATATTTACTCCTCGTATCTGTCATTAGACTATGTAGTTTTACTGCCGAGTGCGGGATATCTCTTTACTCTGTGAACATTAGATGTTTGACATTGCTATGACAATTCAACTTTCATGAAGTTGTGTTGATTAGGCCTCAAAATAATGAAATTAAAATCCATATACACACAATAGTAAAATAAAAATAAAAAATTCTTAATAATTTCCCAAAATATTCATAAGAAATTTATAAATTGTGCAAAGTATTTTTAATAATTTCCATCCCATCAGTGGCCATGCTGCATCAAACATAAGCGGAACTGAACAATATGGCCATTTTGCACCAATATTATTTCACCATGCAATCGTTCATACTTCTGCACACTTGTTATTCGTCTGTACACTATTCTGTACATTCTTATCACTGCTGCACTTTATATATTGTTTGAGTTGCAACGTAATTACATTGTTGTGAGCTATATGCAACGAAATTTCATTTTGTGTGCACTCTGTGCATACAAAATAAAGTCAAATTTAGTGTGTTAAATGCTAATAGCAGTACACAGCAAGCAGTGGTTTTCTGCAATGGTCTGTCAGGAAATATACCCTTTCCAGCTGAGCATTTTTCCATCCTCAGTGTAAACAATTTTGCCAATGCTCTCCTTCCCCATCTTGAGGCACAGGTTAGATGGCCAGAATTGCTTTCAGGATGACTCCCAGCCCTTCTCTATGTCTTGATCTTAGCACTGATGACTGGCCTGATTACTCATTTCATTCGCCTGCCCACCGCCACACATTTTATCATTACCGTTCATCTGATCCAAATGTTCCAGCCTTTATTTAACCTGCCTAAATACCAGTCAACGGTGCCAGATTATTCGAGCCATTGATGATAATTTTCAAGCGTATCTAGTTGTTTCTGATTGCCTAATTTTGACCCATTCTGCCTCTAGACCTCTGAGCCTGCCTTTTCCCGTTCTGATCTGTTTGCCTTAACTGTCTCCAGACTCTTGCTGGATTCAACCCGTTTACAGACCCTGGATTCCTGATACCGTCCTCGATTTCTCTCCGATACCTCTTAGGAACTCTGATCTCCTGAGCTCATCCTCGACACTGACTTTGGCTTTGCCGTCTGGATTATCCTGCCTTCCGTTGTCTGCTTGGGTCTAATCTCCTGCCTGTTCTCAGGCCTCTGGGAGAGTGTCTTAGGGCAGTGTCTGCCGCATATTTTTGGCTGGAACCAACCTTGTCCTTTATACATGGACTGAACTTTCAGACTAGGTTAGTGACTGACATGTTCTCAATCATCCTCCACCAGTTAGATGTGGTCACTAACATGTGTTCTCTACCTGCATAGATTCGTGCCTTAGAAACCCTAGCTGTTCCCTGCAAATCTGTTTACTTAATAAACAGTGTTGAGCATTCCATGGGTCCTCCTCCTTGTCCTTTGTCTTACCCTCAGCAGCTGGCCTGGCCATGATACACTTGGCCTTTTGATAACTATTAGGAGCCTAAGGTCTCTCACTTCAGTTCTGAGGGGTGACTTCTCCCAATCAGACCCCCCCAGTTGTCATAGCTGTTTCCCATGTGAAGTTCATAGTCAATGACATGCTTCATGCCAAAATAGTCAGTGACTTTTTCTTACAGAAAAGGTAGAGTAATATGATTTTATTATCAAACCAAGGACAAGACAGCTTTTTAAAATTTCAGTATCACTAGGTATTTAAGACAAGGGAGTGCAAGATTGACACACTGATTGGTGTGGCCACTACAACACAAACTCTGTGCTTATGTGATATGATAAAAATTAAGCACTTTGCCTTTTATCTTAGCACTCAAGTGTTCAATCTCTTCTCTTTCCTTCACCTATAGCCATGAAATTTGGAAACAATCTCAAAATCCTGGGTACAACTGATTAATATTAGCTTCCTTCACAGGGTGGAGCACACCTTTAAAGAATAGGGGATCCTCTCCTCAAAGCGAGAGGCTGATCCTTCTCACTGTGTGAGCTGAGATATTTTCCACAGGAGATGTTCTACGGCAGGGGTGCCCAACCAGTCGATTGCGGTCTACCAGTCGATCGTGGGCGGAGTTTCAGTTGATTGAGAGAAGGGTTACAATGTAGACCTATTTATGGCTATTACAAAAAAACAAAGTTTTAAAAAACACTAATTGTTCATGAGAGGCCAATGTGTATTTTACTAACAATAAAATGAAAAATAAAAGTAAGTATGCAGGCAATCTTTTTTTAATGCATGCTGATTGCTGGGCTTAGTTTGTTACGGTTGCTAGGTTGTAACCAGGGACACAAAAGCGCAAAGACAAATCTAAAGAGATAATGGCGGAAGCCAAAAAAAATTAAATCACTTTCATCACGAGTGGGAAGAATTAGTTTTTTGTTTTTTTTAAATTCAAATTCAGTGTGTCTGATCTGTAATGCTACTGTGGCCATTCCGCAGAAGCGGAATTTGGAGCGACATTTTCTTACGGTTCACAAGAAGTATGCTAGTGACTTCCCGGCAAAATCAGCTCTACGAGAAGGTTTCTGAACTAAAGAGACAACTAGCCGCAAAGCTGCCACGGTAGCGTCTTACCGTGTCAGTAGAGTTCTGGCAAAGCAAAAAAAATGTTTTAAAGATGTCAAAGTTTTTAAGGAAGCTTTTTTGGAAGCCTTAGACACACCTTTTGCTGACTTCAAAAACACGAAGGAGATCATGTCCTTTATTGAAGATATGCAACTATCCAGGAACACCATTACAAGGTGGAGTGAGACCATGTCACTGGATATAGAACAGCAGCTGAGAAATGACATTGAGACCTTCCTTTATTTTTCTTTGCAATTTGACGAGTCAACTGATGCTGTGGATGCACTGCAGTTGTAGGTTTTCATCCGCACGGTTTTTGGTAGACATGGGCGCAAAGGAGGTGCTTCTGACCATTTTTCCTTTGAAAGGGCACACAAGAGCGTCAGATATTTTTGATACTCTTATGGAGTTCGTCAGCAAGTCGCATTTACCTCTCTATGGTTGGGCACGCCGCTGGATTCGTTGCTCTCTGCAAGCTTTCATAATCTTTCCTGGATTTTTTGAGCTACCACTGCATCACTCATCAACAAAAGCTGTGCAGCAATATTTTAAATATGAAATTTCATGGATGTGATGA